AAACATGCCTCTCGTTTGCAGATGTGAAATTTGTCAGATCTGACGTGTACTTTTTTTTTTGATTCCTCTCTTCGAGGTTTTGAAAACAGTCTCACAGATCGTTGGCATGGACGATTTCCCATGTTCGGTGGTGATTTTCAACTGTTACTTCAGAACAGAAGAAAGGTTTCTCGCTCTCAGTCGGTCTAGACCATTGGGTAGTTAGGAGCTGATTGATCCGAGGATGTTGTCCACCTGTTTCTTGAAGCTGATACTTTCAACAACATGGCGGGCAGCTTGTTCCACACTCCCCCCACCCTTTGTGTAAACAAACGCCTCCCGTTTTGATTGGATGATCTCATCCAGCCATTTATTGAAGGAAGCCATGGTATTGACATCAACAACTTGGTTGGGTAACTTGTTCCAGACTCCCACAACTCTTTGCGTACAGACAGGTCAAAGTGGAGGAAATTTGCTGGGTTGCCTGTCACTGACCTTGAGGTTTTTGAATCCCTTAATCAGCTCCACTCCATATCATATTGTTCAGGATTGAAAATATTCTGTGACTTCAGCCTGTCTGTGTATGACATTCCCCTTGAGCCTAGAAATACTTAAAATGCTTTTCTCTGAAGGGATTCTGGAGAGATGTTTTGGTAAAGTGGTGAGAAAAAGAAAAATTATATAATATTCCAGATGATGTTTTACTGGTGTATTGTAAATTCTAACATTACATCCCTTGCTTTAAATTCTGTAAATCCACACATATGTGCTATTTTTCATATCTATCTTCTTTTGTACTGTGGAGAAGAAATGAATCAACACAGGAACACCTACATCTTCACAGAAAAGCCTCCTGACACTCAGATTTCTGTCTTGAGTCTACATGAACACTTGTCCTTTTCATAGGCTACTGCTTCAGTTGTTAGAAGACTTTGCATAAGCACTTAGTTATTTAAGCGCTGAACTCTTTCCAGGGGGGATTTATCATTTATGATTTAGGAGAAGTCTTCGTTCTGTAATATCACTTTTTTGGTGTGTTGCCAAACACAGAAAGATATTATCTGCATCCCAGAATACAGCTGCTGTCTACTTACCAGAATTATTTCTGTTGGCCCTACATGTCGGTCAGATTGATTTATTGATTATGCCTTGATGAGTGGCGAACAGGTCTGTAAGTGTGCTGTCTTTTTCTGGCGTGAAGGAGGGTTCTCTTTCAGTTTGGCTGTTAATTGATGTGTTTTGTCAGAACAACAGACATACAGTAACTGGCAGGAGTCTTCCTGCAGAGAGAAGGCAGGGGCTGGGTATCCCTCCTCTGGGAGAGGGCAGTGAATGTCAGACCCGAGACAAGGCCGTAACCGTAACTTGCTTGTTAGCAGCTAATCAATCCCAGCATTGAAGCCGCCGTCGTTTCGTGAAGGATCCTGCGTGCTGGGCATGCTGACCGGCTGCCTTCTGCTGGACATCACGCAGCTGTTTTTCCCCCCCAGCCCAGGGGGGCCGAAAATGGCCTCACTCAGCAGAACCAAAGTTATTGCTTTTAGTTATTGTTATAGCTGGGGACACACCACATGTTGCAGCCCCTGTTGGCGCAGTATTCATTTGAAACTAAGCTGAAAAATGGACTGAATAAAAAAAATTGAAATCACCAGGCCACACTTTATCCTGTCAGTTCAAAACTGCACTGGGTTGTGCGGACCCTCACATGAATCTTTGCAGAACTGCTCAGATGCAGAACTGTGCTCCTCTTAGTCAGATCTGTGCAGTTCTGCAGCAGGCCCATGCCAATCCAGTGCAGGATGGTGCAGATTCCATGCAGACCCTTGGCAATGTTCTACAAAGCTATGCAGTTCTTAAGCAGACACTACACAGATCTGTGCGGGTCTTATTCAGAACTGTTCGAATGTGCACTGCCGTGTGTGACTCCAGAGAACTGGAATGGCTGGAATAAGGACTGTCAGCCACATGTCCCATGTCCCAGTCCAAGCCCTTGTCCCTCAGTGGGCCTGAGGCTAAACCCTGAGTGAATGAACACGCCACAAGCACAGTCTGCAGGGCAGCTCTTTACATTACAGCCTGTGTGCGGTGTGTGAGGAGTTGCAGGGTTGGTGACTGCTCTCTTTTGTGCTAGGCGTTTTGTTTTAGCGTTCACTAATGTAGCGCCTTGCTTCAATACCCGGTTCCTAAAAAAGACCTGTGCAAATCTCAGATCCCACCTCTGATATAATAACTGGCACAGAAAGCGCTCAGTCTTTCTAAGACAGAGGAGCACGTTACTCCAGCAAGAGGCAAGCTGTAAACACAGACAGTTGTTTAAGTACTGGAGCCTAGTACTATGAGGAGGATCCAAAGGGTTTAAAAACTCATTACATCAGGCACTTTGATCAGCTCTGCGCTTTCTGCACAGTAAACTGTATTTGCTGTGTGCTGTTCTCTCAGCTACTGCAATGCAAATCAGGCATTTTATTTTGTAAGTACTATTTCCTACTTATTTTCGCCAGTAGTATTTCTTCAAACAAGCAGGTTTTTTTTGCGTTTCTAATGGTGGTCAGAAGAGTACTTGGATACTTGGCTCCATGATGTGTGAACACTCATTCTTTGATTCTGCTTCGTAAGATGTGCTTCAAGTCCTGAGCTGCGTACAGTGTGATGCTGACCTGATTAGGTCTGATCAGTTCTGGACGCATTTAGAAAGGTTGTGTGGACCACAGTCCAGGCTTGTGTGCTGTTCCCACGATCATAATGACTATTTCTCAAAGGGTGGGCTGTCTTTAGACACCCCTGCTTCGTTGCTGATGGCACGCGGAGCTGAATTCTCAGGTGGATGGTGTTTTTCTTCCCCCACAGGTGAGCTAATAACTTGAATTACTGTGGGGTTGTGTCACGTCGGCGCAGACTGGAGGGGGGGGGCGACAGCTGGCTTTTAAGTGCGTGTTTAGCTGGGCCAGAGGAGGCTGCAGTAGATAAGGCTTTTTAAGGCTCGGTGGGGCTCGAGTTGATTAAACATCGCGGTTGGCCTCGGTTACCAGGCATGTTTTACTGACCTGTCACCATGCCAGCTCCCTAAACAACAGCAGGGGGAGATGTATTGATTTTTGTATTTCCTGGCGGAGAGATGTGGAATGTGATTTGTTCGCTGCCAGAGTACAACAGGAACAAAGCAGCACCAGGCCAGCACAGAATAACTCTTTATCCATTGTCTCTTGTTGTCTTTCCCCTTTCACTTTGTGCCCCTTGTGGCTCTGCTGTCCAGGCATTGCTCCTCCTGGAGTAAGGGTCACCATATATCTGATTCTGTTCTAACAGTATAGAAGCTCTGCTCCCAAAGAGCTGGGAGAAGCTGTTAGCTCAGCTGGTCCAGATCAGCCCCCTGGTAAAGCTCGGTAAAAGATAAGATAGATAAGAGAAGCTTGGGGTCAGAATGTGGGGTCAGACATTTATACGGCGCCCCTGGAGCAGCTGGGGTTAAGGGCCTTGCTCAGGGGCCCGACAGAGTAGGATTCCAGCCGTAGGATTTGAACTGGCAACCTTCCAGCCACAGACGCAGAGCCTTAGCCACAGTGCCACTGCTCCGCTCTGAACTGAAAGATGAATTGAAATGCAAACCCGCAGATGCACAGGTCCTGCGGCTTCCACGTTTGAAGGTTGACAATTCACCAACCTCATTTCATCAGTTTGGATTGAATCTGCCCTTCTGATTTTGCCCTGCTCACTGCTGGTGTGGGAACCTGCCTCTGAGCAGTGAGAACAGACGGGGGAGAGCTGTCAGACTGTGTCGGGATCTTTCAGCCCTGCTCCACGCCTCTCAGTCCCGAGTCCTGTGTGGAGCACAGTCCATCCTAGAGGACCCCTCCCACCCTCTGATTCAAGACTTGCAGTTCCTCCCCTCAGACCGCAGATACAGATTTCCCAACCCAAAAACAAACAGGCTCAAGTTCTCATTCGTACCTGTGGCCATAACCCTGCTCAACAGATGATTCTCCTGTGCGTGTGTATTGTTTATCTGTGAGTTTTTCTTTACATTGTCTCCTGCTGCAAAACTATCATCCCTGGGAGATAAAAGGACTCAATCCTACTCCACTCCAGGATTGTAGTCTAACCCCTTTCCCAGCCCCACAGGGAGGCCTGTATCCGGGAGATGCAGATTTAAGGAGTCTGTAAGGACCACTGGACTGTAGTCCTAGACTTGTACCGACTTGACTTCACACCCAAAGAAGGCTCCACAGCCGAAATGTGTCTCTTTTCTCCTCTTTTCAGCAGGAATAAACCTTTACTTGTTCCTTTGCAGCCTATTTATGACAGAAGGTGCTTGAGGAAAGCTCTAAGCATAATCAAAGACCCCACACACCCCAGCTACAGACTTTATGATCTGCTACCATCTGGAAAACGGTACCGGAGCATTCAGGCCCGGACTACCAGACTCAGAGACAGTTTTGACCCCCGCACTATCAAACTGTTAAACTCCCAGCCTTTCTCACTCTCACTCTCACCTATGATCTGAACCTCACAGTGCCTTCTTTCTTTCTCTCTTTCTTTCTTACCAAAAACCCAAACACACATTGAAAATCTACCTCTACCACACATGTCAAAGGCTCACTCCCCATCATTTCTATCCCTTTATTTTATTCTGTTGATGCATATTTTTGCACATAACCTGTTACCTTTTTGTTGTTTTTTGCACATTGCCTGTTGTTGTTTTTTTGCACACTGCCTGTTGTCTCTGTCTTTCTTTTGCTACACAATTGTATTGTTGTTGTTGTTGTTGTTGTTGTTTTTTTCTCTTTGTACTACTTATGTCCGAGAGCTAGCTAAATAGCATTTCGTTACACCATATACCATGTATATGAGTGTAATGACAATAAACTTGAACTTGAACTTGAACTATGCATGCTGACGCAGCTCCCCTACTTGAACTACTTGTACCGACTTGGCTGGGCCACAGACAGGAGATAGCACTTAGACCAGTTAGACTAAATTAGAGCTTCTTTCACTAAGGAAATAAAGACTGATAACAAAAGAGGTCTGTTTCCCTGATTTTCCATTTTTATTTATACTCTTGAAGTATACAAGCACATGTTGTTTTGGGCTACATACTCTGTGAATCACCCTCAACTGTACCTGATACCTTGAAACCTTGGAGTGGCTGGGCAGTGACTGTGCCCTCTTTCTCATGCAGGGGGCTCTGTGGTATCGAACTTGTCTCGCGTCTGGCAGGTGTCTGATCTGAGTGCTGTTGCGCTGGTCTCTCTCTCTATCAATGCTTTCCCTTCTGACCACGGTGGCCACATATGTCTTTGATTTGTTGTTGTCTATGTCAGGATTCTCACCTCCAGTCCTTAAGAGCCCAGGTGTCTTCTGCATCTTAAATTGACGCCTCAGTTACGTGCAGATTTTCTTTATTTGAAATTGACAACTGAATTTGTCAGTTCGCGACTTGGCTTTATTGCTGCAACGTCCAAGCTGCACAGAGGAAATAAGAACCTGTGGACGCCGTCTTCAAACATGCTGAACTATTTTGTAAATAATCTTTCTGTGCATCTCCCTTGCTTCCAGAAAGACCCTGCTGCAGGGCAATCATCACCAATAAATGTAGCCAGCTGAGCTATTTGGTATGCCATCAAATTTTTTTAATCAACTGTAGCTCCACAGAGAACTCTTAACAGTTCACTTAGTTACAAATACAGACACCTGGTCATGATAAATACCTGAACTGGCTGAGCTCAAGATCCAAGCAGAACAGTGTGGTTCAGCTCCAGCCCTGGAGGGGACACTGTGTCTGCAGGTTTCTCTTTAAAGCACCACCTGCAGAACTGGGGGACAAATGAACTTGTCTAAGTGATTCAGTTGAGCTACTAACAAGCTGATAGTGAGCAGATAACTAAATGACGAGCTGATAACTGAGCTGGTAGTGAGCAGAAGAGATGGAGTGAAAATACTTCATCCCTACAGGACTGGAGGTGGACCATACTACCCTCCTTGTCCCTAGGCCACCTTGTTTGCTTATTGCTGTGGCAATGTCTAGGAGAGTTTCCTTCGCTGTGTGCTGACATATTGAGAAGTTGCCAGTGATGTGGCCATACTGCCACAAACTGCTGTAGTGACATTATACCTAACCCTTCTCTGGCAGTGCCTGCTACATTTCAACATTTGTTTCTGCTGCGGACAAAACACTTTAGCAAATCCCTCAGCTTTTGAAGACAAGTGCTCTATCTGAGGTGAGAGAGTTCATACATAAAGATAGGCTTCAGCAGCAAGTGTAAGAAGTGCATTTGAGACCGACAATTGTATGACAAAATTCAGACTGTCCGTGTGGAACTCCTGTAGTTATGCGTTACAGTCCTTGTGTTTACAGTTTAAATTAAACAGAGCACAACAGCAAATAGATATGCAAAACTAAAAATGTGTGAAAATCTCATTTGGCGATTGGATTATGGCTAACTCCAGGTACTGCAAGCATATCAGTAAATGAAATACAATTCGTGAAGCATTCGAGGCAGAATGAAGCCTACATTCTGCAGTAAACACTGAAGTTAAATATGACGCCGACCCCTAAGACAAAAGACCGAGAATGTATGAAAACAACTCGCTTGTCTTAAAGGATCTTAAAGGATCACATCGGCTTGACTGCTTAGTAAAAGTGCCCGTGTATCTGCATCTGAACATAAACAGACGCCCACCTCTCTACGGGGATACTTCCTGTTGTCTTACTGTACATTCCTGTCATCTGCGTGTAGCCAGGCTCCAAGAAAGGAACGGTCTCAAAGTCAGCTGGATGAAACTGAAGCCCCTTCCTGGGAGATCTCGGAAGGTAGCCTGGCCTGGACAGCACAGGAGACATCCGAGTTAAAGTCCGGGATGAATGGGACAGGGGAGGTGCTCTGTCCCACAAACCCTATGCTGATTCCCTGGTCTCACAACGAGAGTGTGTCTGTGGGTGCTGGGGGAGGTACTGTGCTCCCACAGGAAGCCTTTGAGATGAAATGTTTAACTGAGGTTTGCTCCGAACGCATGATCCTCAGATCCATCTCCTCCCCACCCCAAAACAGACGAGCTAGAAATTCTCCGACTGGTCAGTCACCTCCTGCCGCCTCGGACCCGGCGGAGCAGCCCGTCTCTCCCACTTCAGGGGGTACCATCTGGTCCGTGTCAAGCGGAGAGGGGGAAGGTGACCGCTGCCGCCCGGGGAGCCTCAGCCCCGCGTGGCGCTCTGGTGCTCGGTCGCTGGGGACTCGGACTTGGACTCCAGGGCGGCGCTGTGGGGGGTCCGGCGAGAGGACAGGCGCTCCAGGGACCTGGGGGAGTCCTGGGGCCGGCGGCACCAGCAGGCCGCCAGGTCGGCGCGGAAGGAAGGGGTGTACAGGCCGTAGATGACCGGGTCGCAGCAGGTGTTGAGGTTTCCGAAGAGGAAGAGGATGTGGTTGACGTACTCGGGGGTGTCCCGCAGCATCTGGGGCTGGAACCAGTACCAGATGCCCAGCAGGTAGTAGGGGGTCCAGCAGATGATGAAGGAGGCCACGATGATGATGGTCATCTTGAGCGTCTTCATGCGCGCCTTGGGGATCTGGTCTGTCCCACTGCGCCTCAGGCTGGCTTCCCCTCCTGTGGGGAAACAACACAAGGGTTTGGACGGGTTCAAGTCGCCCAGCAGGTGTCTTAAACCTGATGTCGAGATACTAGTGGGAAAATCAAACTGTACTCTCTGCCAGTGGTCAAAACAAACCCATTATACCTTTTGCAAACGAATGTATCTTTTTCACACTGCCTGGCTCAGATTTATACCGAAATGAGAAGATGTATAACCACTGAAGCAGCTCATGTTCTCAACGAGTGAGGTTCATGCCCTGATCGTCAGGTACCTCTGTCTTAGAGCTGACATTTTTCCTGCCTGAACGAGCCCTGGATGAAGCTCATTATGTGCTCGATCAAACCTTTTTAATTGTCTCGCCGTTCTGCAAATGTTGGAGCTCTCAAGGTGACTGGGTGCTTTCGCGGCAACACGAAAGTGACTTCAAATTGCGGACTGTCTAGGAGCTGGGAACAAGTCTCGAGGTGTGATTGATCAGATTATTCGTTTGCTGAAGGGTGTGATGCAGACTGCCCAGCTGGAATGAAAAGCCATTGGATACAGGGGTTTGACCACAGCCGAGCAACCTTCATCAGAGCACACAGCCATCATAAAATGATGGTCCCATTCACAGACTGTGTATTGCCAGCTTCATTAGGGTGTTTCTCGAAAAGAGTAGGGGTGTAACCCCGGCGTCCTGGCCAAATTTCCCATTGGCCCTTACCAATCATGGCCTCCTAATAATCCCCCTCTATGAATTGGCTTCATCACTCTGCTCTCCTCCCCACTGATAGCTGGTGTGTGGGGAGTGTTCTGGCGCACTATGGCTGCCGTCGCATCATCCAGGTGGGGCTGCACACTGCTGGTGGTGGAGGGGATCCCCATTACCTGTAAAGCGCTTTGAGTGGAGTGTCCAGAAAAGCGCTATAGAAGTATAAGGAATTATTATTATTATTATTATTATTATTATTATTAATATTAAGGTGATAAAGAAGCCAGAGGGCCTGTTTCAGAAGACTCGTCTTGAAGCGCTATATAAGTGTAAGCAATTATTAATTATTATTATTAATTATTACTGAGCACTGCACGGATATCACCATACATGATTTTAACTGGGCCAGCAAGCCTTCATCGTGCCCTGTGGGAGGCAGAAGTTATTCCTGTGATGTTGAAATTTGCTTTGCATTCTTGTTATGGATGACTTACCAAAGAGTGATCCACCCAGAGATCCTACAGAGATGCAGATGGTTCTAGTCAGTAATTGATGAAGATGGGGGACGAGAAATTTCCAAGTTGCTCCGAAACATTGAATCCTCTCCACAGACCAGGGATGTCCACTCCTGCTCTGACCCAAACCACTTCACTAAACAAACCTGATCAAACCGGTTACTAACGAGCTGTTAGCTGCAGTTAATCAAACTGTAGAACCTGCCTATCCCTCCTCCCTGCCGTGCAACACTTCTGTGCTCCGGAGTGGATCCGGGGAGTCTCTGCGGCCGCCTGCGGTCGATCACTCATCACTCCTTACCTTTGCTCTTCTTCATCTGCCGGTTGATCTCGGCCAGGATGCGGGCGTAGCAGCAGCTCATGACCAGCAGGGGGACGACGTAGAGCGTGACGAAGTGGAACATGTTGTAGAGGGTCTCCTGCCAGCGCTGCCGGAAGCTGCCGTGGGTCACGCACTGCGTGAAGTCGGCCGTCTCCGCCTTGATCGCGCGGAAGATGAACAGCTGGGCCCGCCCAACGACACAAAACGCACAAAAAAATAAGTTGGGCTCATGAACGCCGATCTGCAGGCCGCTGGGTCAGAGCGGCGCGGAGGTGCTCGGCCCAGCTTACTGTGGGGGGCCCTCCGGGCTCACCTCTGAATCGGCAGCCAATCCCACTGCCCTCAGCCCTCAGGGCATTACGGATTTTCAGGCTGGTTATTACATTTCAGGAGCAAAGTATAGTATTTGGCTCGGTTTAATACTGAATGAAGTTGCCCCGACCCAAGCTTGAGGGAGATCCAAAGAGTGCAGCTCATTATACTTTTTAGAGCTTGTTTCTCTCCCTTTCAGTCCGGTCCTGAGCACAGCCACCCAGACTGCATGAATCTAAACAAGCGTCCAGTCAGTTCAGTGAACAACTCATCACACTGTCTGACTGCTTCTTCCAATTCAGGGTCACAGGGGAGTCTATCCCAGCGAGCAACAGGAGCAAGGCAGGGTACACCATGGTCAGGACACCAGTCCATCACAGGACTCACGCTCACACCAGGGCCAGTTTTCCACCAGGCCGGTTAACCCACTAGTATGTCCCTGGACTGTGGGAGAAAACTGAAGCCACTGGAGGAAATCCATTAAACTCACATTGTTAGAAAGCACCCCCCCCTCTGATCACAAACAGTGATCATGGGCCAGGAGCACAGAGAGAAGTTGTGTACCTGTGTAATCTTGTTTGACTGCTAGTTCAGATCTGAGTTATTCCCCTGCTCTTTACAGCCCATCATGCACATTTAAAGGTCAGACTGCGTTGTTATTTCTTTCAGCACTGCTGTTATCCATCAAGAGTTCGTCGCTGGGCTTGGCACAGCAGACCAGAAATGGGAGGGGAGGATATGCAAAATCAAACATCAGTACAGCTTCTTTAAAAGAACATTTGCTAAAAATACAAGAAGAACTGTGTTCCAATTTAAGAAGGACAGCAACAAAGATACAAGATCAATACCCTGCCAGTGGACAAATGTGTTTCTATGTATGGGCAAAATTAACCAAGGGGCTTTGTATAAGTATAATTGGCATTTATCAGGTCAGAAGAGTATTGTATTGAAACTGAACACAAGCATCTTATGAGCTTTAGTCTTTTACATGAAATCCACAAATCTAATATCAAAGCTCAAGATATTCACTAATAACAAAACTAAGATATCTACTGTATATGGTATCTGCAGAGATTCGGTTATTAAGGAAATCAGTTCGGCATTATTGACATTAGTAGACCAACAGAGTAAAATAATGGATCTGACATACATTTTGAAAGAGACACACTGATATCCGTTTACAATCCTGTTACATCCGTCTGTATATATTCCCCAGGAAGTAAAGGTTAGATAACGTCTGCATCGACAGTGCCGTTTATTTTTCTGCTAATACTTTCTGGTAATGGGAAGGCTAATTTAAATGATTAAAAACACAACTGGGTAATTGTTTAACGATCTGCCATGCGAGACTATATCGACCTCTGCAGGCCGGCAGACTGTTTAATTAACCTGTGATTCTGGGCGGGTAAAAAGGAAAGTCCATCATACTGCAGACTTGATATCTCTGCATAATATATCTGAACAACTCCAGCATCTGTCCTGATATTACTCATCGATGTGTGTGGGAAACAGACGAGCATCTGCTTACTGAGCTGGCTGTGAATGAATTAGAGTAGACAAATGAATTAAAACGTGCGTAAGTCACTAGCAGTGATTCATCTTACAGGTCAGAAGACACATGTAAACTAATAAAACCAATCTACGCTAGAGTAATTCCCATAATCTGAATGCCTGTAATCAGCCTTTACACAAGCTCCACTGTGTCTATGTAAACGTATACCAGCATTTGTACAAGGTTTTTATTCATCTCGATCTCGGTTTTTGTTAGCTTGATTAACGTCTTGACTGGACAGCTCTGCCCCCCTCTTCTCCCTTCTTGAATACTCAATAGCCCGTGTGCCCTCCAAAATGCCTTTCCTGCCTGCGTCATCGCATAGCAGAACAGAATCTGCCTCAAAGGTTCGAGGTTTCTTCATCCGCCCTTCATCTCCTTGTGCTTCGTAGTGAGAAATACAGCAATGCGTCTGTGCAAGTTAAATAAATCGAGTACTTCAGAAGGACTGCATTATGTAACCTGCAGGGCTGCAGTGGTCAAGGTGTGCCGATATGTGCTGAGTAGCGTTTGATTCCTAGAGCTTCCTCACCCTCAATTACCAGCGTTCGACCCTTTAAGATCTGCAGTCGTGCAACTGAGCTGTTATCTAATGCCTTCTGGCTGTGGCTGCTAATCCAATTGAAGGGCTAAAAAAGAAAATCACTTCACATCTCCATATTCCCTGGCTCCTGTGCCGCATTGAGGATCGTGGCGGGATGCTATGCGCTCTGTTCTGCACCCTTGCTGGAGGTTATCGAATTAGCGCGCGCAGGCCTCGGGGCTCGATCGCTATGCAGGCGCTCACACGCATCGTTAAGCAGCTGCCTGGTCTTGCAAAGCAAGCTGGGAATCCGGCCTGCTCAGAGGTGCTTCCCTTTGCAGAGGCTGCTGGGAAGGTTTCACCTCTGCACGTGGGTTCGTGTCGGGGGTGTGAATGCTCAACACGTTCTTTCACGAGAGCAGTTCCAAGCCAGGATCAGACATTTGGGCCGCCTAGTTTGCTTGGATGCTGGTAGCTAATTGATCGGAGAACGTGCTCCAGACTTTTTTCTTGAAACCAACCAGGGTTTCGGCTTCAACAAACAGGCTGGGCAGTTGGTTCCAGAGCTTCCAACACTCCTCTGTGCGGCATGTCTTTACACAAAGGGTGGTAGGGTTCTGGAACAGCCTGCCTAGTGTTGTTGCTGAAGCCAATTGTCTGAAAACCTTCTAGAAATATGCTGGACAATATCCTTGAGTCGAGAACTTACTAGCCGCCCAGGGATCTGGGATCTGTCTGCCGTTGGGCGTCTGCTTGCAGCAGATCCCAGGCACGCCCGCCCACCCACCTGAGGGGAGGCCACTAGGAAGCTGGCGCTCCAGGCCAGGACCAGCATCCTCTTGTTGCGGCGGTTGGCGTCGAAGGAGTCCAGCGGGCGCAGGATGGCGTGGTGCCGGTCCAGGCTGATGACCACCAGGATGAAGGCAGAGGCCTGCATGGCGAAGAGCTTGAGGAAGCAGAGTAGCCTGCAGAGGGCGTCTCCACCATACCACTGCACCGTCACGTTCCAGATGGCGTCCAGGGGCATCACGATGAAGGTCATCATGAGGTCGGCCGCCGCCAGGCTCAGGATGAGCGGGCGCAGGTGGGAGGCCAGCCGGCGGCCCCGCCCCCCCGCCACGCTGGCCAGCACGGCCAGGTTGCTGACCGCCGCGAACAGGAAGAGCACCAGCGTGGCCCCCACCCGGAACTGGGCGGCCCGCGTGAAGGTGGGCTCCTGCCAGTCGCCTGCAGGGGGCGCCGTCGCGTTGGAGGAGTTGCCCGTGATGTCCGGAGCTGGCATCAGGAAGAGAGACAGGTTCCCAGACATCCTGCACAGAAGGTAAATGGACTGTTAATCTTTCATGAGGACAGCTGCGGCAGAGCGGAGCCATTCAGCCTATCTAGTCTTTTAATACTAAATTGATCTGAGGATCTTGTTCAGCCATTGATTAAAAGAAGCCAGATTTAACAAGATGGAGTTCCACACTCCCACAGCCCTTTGTGTAAAGAAGTGCCTCCTTTTCTCAGTTTTAAACACACCCACTCCCACATCCCTGCTTCCTTGTGTCTCTACAGTCTGTCACCAACCTGCAGGTATTTTTTCTGGACGGTTTGTGTCCTTTAACCCCCCTCCACACATGCAGACGTACACAGCGTCAGCTTGTCCAGGTGTTTTGATCTGGCTAGAATTTGCACCTGTGGCCTAGTGCCTGTTTTTGATTTTTGAAACTTCTTATTCAGTTATGCATTTTCCCCAGTGCAGATCTTTCGTTTTTGTTCGCAGTCTTATTTATGCCTGTTGAGGAACTGGACCAGCTGCATGATCACGGCTTCGAGCCTGGGTCGTGGCTGTAGCCAGCTGTGTCTGGGATCCCCCAAGCAGTAGCAAGCGGGCAGCTGCGTGAATTGGCTGAGGGCGAGGTGTGGCTAACTGGCCAGGGCTCTGTCAATCTCTCAGCGACACAGGGTGCTTGAGGACTGTCGGAGCACGATGGCCTCCTACCCTCTGTTCAGCACTGAACCCCCACTGGCCGGCCGTGCTGCCTGCCATGTGTTAAAAGCCACGTGTCACAGAAAGGGGGCGTGGCAAGGGTCCTTCCCCGTGTGCAGTTACAGTGCTCATAGATGTGAGCCGAGACATGAGCAATGATTGCCGCTTCGGTTTTTTTTTAGAAAAGCTCAGCTATGGCTAGCAATAGCTGCTGCAATAAGAATTGCGATTACAAATGACTCCAGCTTTTTATTTAAAACAAAACCGCTGGAGTGACCCATCAGTGGGGCGTCAGGTGCTTCCCACCAGCTGTGTCTGCAGTGGGTTTTTCCCCACTCCCCGCTGTGCAGAGCCTCCACGGGCGAGCACGGTGCAGTGCAGTCTGGTGCACCTTACTGTAGTAGAGAACAGCTCTGAGAGCACTCATTGTTTTAAAAATCTCTGTGTGGATCTTGAGATCCCTAGCAAGCCTGCCTACAAATGCACTAAAAAGAAGAGTGTCTGTTGTTCAAATTAGTTATAAATAATTCATCTGTGATGCTAGCACCCTTGATACCTACTAGAGAGTCGTATTGACATATCATAAAGTTCCTGCTCCAACAGGGATGTGATTTTCAAGATACTGGTGCCAACTGAAGGATGACTTTTAAGTGCTCTTAGTTAGCACCAGCAACTCCTACTCAAGTGTGCACGTCTCTAATCTGGGTTAGGGGTTACCTAATAATTGTTAAGATAGATAATTGTGTGCTTTGTGGCCCTAGAAACCATAATCGCCGCATGGCCATGCCTTCTGCGTGGGCTGCCTGTGTACACTGTGTCACAGTCCGTACTGGTGATTTAATGACCTCCAGCAAAGGGACGCATAACCTGCAAAAAAATACAGACTTTATCAGCACGGGGCGGCACTGCTTGTGACTGAATGCAGGAGGATTCCAGCCCACGCGGTTTTAGACCTCAGAACACATCACTGAAGGTCAATGGGGTTTGTGCATGCAATCTGGCTGGGATAAATTGCCTTAGCTATTGCTTCTCGGTAAGGTGCCTTTGTCATTGGAATCTGACAACGACTTCACTTCTGATTGTCAGTGTTCTTTGACCGTCCTGATGTATATCAATGACCTGGATGCTGGGATATTTACTAAAGTAGCTGGGTTTGCAGACAATACTGAAAGCAGGGGGGATAGCAAACAATGTAGGAGCAGCCCATGCTTTTCAAATAGATTCTAATCAGATTCAAGCTGTAGGAGCAAACACCTGCCGTTGTTTCATGTAGACTACTGCAGAGTGTTACACGCAGGTAGCAGAAACCATCAATACAAAATGGGACGTGCTGTGTTTGCAGAATCTATGCTGAATAAGAGCTGGGTGTTCACGGCCTTTCTTGTGTGCTTAATGAAAGGCGACGTCTTTAGCAGTAGTATCTGGGTGAACGAACAAGTTTAAGAGCTCCTCAACCTGTGAGCGCTCAGGGAAAAAATCCAGATGTCATGTTTAAATAGTTGTAGAATTATATGGCAACGTACGATGCCATTTGTCTCACCTCTCTTTAAGGTTAAACTTGTAAAAAAAAAAAAATCCCATCCATTTCACTTGGAATTTTAGATCCCATTTGCAAAACATGGTTCCAAGCTGCCGTTCTGGAGTTTTTACAAATACACAAACGTGTCAGGAACCACAGTGGAGAATGCTGCTGCTCGGAGACATCTGAGATGCAGGTGATCTCAAAATGGTGACATTTCTGCACGGCTCAGTGTTATTCCCTCTCTCCCTGCTATAGATTGTCTTAACGGTGTGTGTCTGGAATGGCGTGTGAATGTGTGTTAGGTGGACGCTGTCTGTTATTGGCTTCATGTTGTGTATTTGCTTTGCATGTCTTTTGATTGCATAGGAGCTCACTGAACCAAATGCCATGCACCTAGTTGTTACGGCAATAAATGATCTGTCCAGGGAAAGACGGAAAAGATAAGCAGCAAGAGGAATGTCAGATCTGAAAGGAACGTCACCCCCCATACAGGAAGCGGACTCTCTTTAGTCTTGTGCCAGGCAGGTCAGCCCCGACTTCACCCGCGTATCCAGAAGCCGAAAGCGATCGACAACGATTGGTTCTCTGTGCTCTCTGCAGCAGGGCAGGACCATGAGGGCGCAAGTGGAAGTTACTTCTTGCATAAAGAACATGGCCTGCGAGATGCTGCTGTTGTGTTGTTGAAATCGGATCCCTGGGGACCTGCAGAAAGCAGTTGGATAGTTCAAGTTCAAGTTTGTCATTATACTCATATACAGGTATATGGTATAACGCAATGCTATTTAGCTAGCTCTCAGATGATAAGTAGTACAAAAAAACAACAATACAATTGTGTGAAAAAAGAAAGACAGAGACAACAGACAATGTGCAAAACAACGAAAGGTAACCGGTAATGTGCAAAACAACATCAGATGTGCAAAAACATGCATCAACAGAATTAAATAAAGGGATAGAAATTATGGCGAGTGATTTTTGACCTGTGAGGTAGAGGTAGATTTCAGTGTGTGTTTGAGTCTTTGGTAAGAAAGAAGGCACTGTGAGGTTCAGATCGTAGGTGAGAGGTGAGAGAGGCTGGGAGTTTAACAGTTTGATAGTGCGGGGGTCAAAACTGTCCCTGAGTCTGGTAGTCCGGGCCTGAATGCTCCGGTACTGTTTTCCAGATGGCAGAGGGTCATACAGTCTGTAGCTGGGGCGTGTGGGGTCTTTGATGATGCTGAGAGCTTTCCTCAAGCACCGTCTGTCATAAAGGTCCTGGATGGATGGGAGGGCAGCCCCAGTGATGGACTGGGCAGTTTTCACCACCCGCTGGAGGGCTTTGCGGTCAGCAGTGCTGCAGTTGCCAATAGGCTTAGTGGATCAATAAGTTACTCGCTCCGGAACGAGCACAGTGTGTCAAACGGCAGCCTCCTATTCAACCTTCTTACATTGCGATGTGACCCCAGTGCAAGCGCCACTGCCTACTAAGGTGCAAATGGGAAATCGACGCGGACAAATTACTTTTTAAAACCTGATTTTCCGTAAGGCTCCTGCAGGACTCCGAGCCGTAGATTCTGACCCTTAACTGGAGCGATTCCGTTTGTTAGCTGCGGAGACCACCAACCACTTTATCCAACGGAGAGTGCGTAACCCTCTCAGCCCTCAGATATGGGACCCCTTAGATAAATATTTACTAACATGCATTAAAGCAGAGGCCGAGGGGAGCCATAACATAATTACCATTGTATTCCATTCCATTGCTTGTAGATGCTTGAGTACGCACTTGGCTCAATATTGGGAACCTCACACACACAAGAGGATGACATGACTTTCTGAGAGGTAGGCAAAGACTTGTGGGCCAGTGGAGGATTCAGATCAATCTCACACACTATTACTGCTTAACACAGCACAGTTTGGGTCATTTTAGCTTTAGCCTCAGGCCTGTTGTTCACTCACTGGCCACAAAACACCACAAACTACCCTCCCAGACAGATCGGCTGGGACAGGATAGACAGGTCATGTGCAGGTGGCCCTGGGGAGGAGGAGAGAGTCTCCTCTCATCCTCCCTGGCCAGAACAATCCTGCTAGATCCCCTTGGGCCTGTTGGATTCACAGTTCAATCCCACAGTTCTAACCCTCATCCCAACCACATGCAGTTCAAAAGCCTTGTGGAATACAGACCATGCTCTGCTTGCTGAGGTCTAATATTCTAATATTATGGCATTACAGTGATTTGTGGGGGTACCTAGTATTTTGTCTGGTGATTGTATGTTCCAGCCTAGCAATACAGTTCAAGCGGTCTGGTTCTGGGGGAGAGGGCTGCGTTCACCCAACCTTTGCTAAGGAATCTCTGCTCATCTCTTCATCTCAGCTGTTTGCCGCGGATGTGATCTACAGGAGAATGATGGAGGTGACAGTCTCCCCCCGTGTTCCAGCCATCCTTTTTTTTTTATTCACTTCCTCCAATCCAGGGTCTCGGGGCAGTTGGAGCCCATCCCAGCATGCAGCGGGCGCAAGGTGGGGTACAGCCTGGAGGGGGACACCAGTCCATCACAGGGCAGACAGACACACTCACCGCAGGGCCGATTTTCCCAGGAGCCACTTAACTTAACCAGCATGTCTTTGGACTGTGGAAGGAAACCCACACAAACCCAAGGAGAACATGCAGACTCCACACAGACAGCACCCGGGGTTGAGATTTGAACCCAGGGCCCCAGCACTGCAAGGCAGCAATACTGACAACTGCACCACTGTGCCACCCCACCCCTTCTTCCATCTAATTACAATACAACAGCTATACTGTATCACTCTGTTCATTTTTCCTTCTGTATATTTTAGCT